ATTTGAAATGGAACTTTTATTATTTCAAATTTGTGAAATTATTATTTAATGAATATTGAAAATAAGGTGTTACATGACAGATACCATTAAGAAGATGTTTGATGCGCCTTACATAAGTTAGATATTGTTTCTTGTAATTCTTCTAATGAAATTGTATTTATGTAGAAAAACTTCTCCATTCCTCTCAAGATGAAAAGATGATTTTCAAGGCATGGAAGAGTCGTCTTGTGGGTTGATACACGATCTCAGGCCACATATGTAAGTCACCCTTATTGACACTATATGTTATTATTAATAATTTACTAAATAGTTTTCGAGACTAATATATAATTATTTGTATTGAACTGTAGGATGACTATGTTCAAAAGCTTAAGGAGACATCTTTTCAAGATCCAGAGTCAGTTGATGAAGATACTATATGGTCAGAGACGGTAGGTGACCTTTATAAAAGCCCTATTTATAGCATGGGGAGCCGCTTTGCAGACTCTATGTCCCCTGTATCTGTCATTGGAGATGCCCCTTCTCTTGTACCTGAGGAAGTGGAGGACATGGTCCGCACTCAGGTCTATGCCCTCAATGAAGAACTGTAGAAGCAAAATGAAGAGATGTAGAAGAGCAAAGAAAGTGCATAGAAGAAGAAGTGGGCGAAGAAAATGGAGAAGAAGATAGAGAATATGGTGGCATCGAGGATGCAGAGAGAGGTGCAGCAACAGCATATGCAGATGCAGCAGATGTAGCAGATGCATGCATACTTTGAGCTCATGAGAGTAAGCACTTCTACACCTCTTCCTCCTCCTCCACCAGCTCCAACACCACCAATCTTTAGCTCTATGCGTCATTCCTCCTTCGATTCCTCCTTTACTGATGTCGATACTTTTTTGGAATATGATCACACCGATTATTAGTGATATGCAATGTTATTTTATTTTTTATACTATTTTTTTAGGTGTTTACTTCTTCATTTGTAATGAAATTTTAATTTTACATTTTATAAATAATTTTTGATTTTAAATATATACTTTTATAGTTTTTATTATGTTTATAAATTATGATAATTAGGAACAACGAGAAATAATTATGATTATAAAAAAATGAAACAATTTTTCTTTTAAATTTCATAAATGCATTACAAACGGATTTTTCCGTCTATAATTTACAGACAGATCTTTCCGTCTATAATTACAGACAGATTTTTCTGTCTATACATTACAAACGATTTTTTCAGTCTGTAAATTACAGACAGATTTAAAAATATGTCTGTATTTATTTACTGACGCGCATATTATAGACGGCTCTAGTCGGTATGTAATGCTAAAATTTGTCTGTGATAATGAAAAAATCCGTCTATATTTTTAGATTTTCTAGTAGTGTTACACGGGCCTAACTTTGTGTCCAAATCCAGAACAGAAAAGAACTTTAAAGAGTCGACCCAAGTCTAGTATGATAAGAACAGAGATGGACATTAGAGAACAATAAAGTCGGACAAAAAATTGTTCTTATTGTCACACCTCTGGTTACACAAGGAAGAAATGTCTAAATATTGCTCAAGCTTCTAGTTCCCACCATTGATTTATGTTGTTATTATTTTAAAATTTTCTTAATGTCATTTTTAATTTTATGAATGTCATTGTAACTTTTAAATTTTTAGTATTTGTAATTTATATTAAATATATGATTATATATATATATATATATATATATATATCTACATAATATTATTTAATAATATTTATTAATATTAATAACATATTTTTTTGAATAAATAATTATGTATAAATTTTAATAAAGATTAATATATCAAAATAAATACATAAACTGGTTATTGTTTAATACTTTTATTTATTTTATAAATATATAAAATTAAATAAATTATTATTATAATTTTTATTTTATACAAATTTAAAATTAAATAAATTATTATTGTAATTTTTAAAAAAATATAATATTAAATAACTAAAAATACAATTTCAGAATATAATATTAATATCATTTAAAAAAATCAAAATTATTTTAAATAATATGATAAGAAAACAAAAATATTATTTATTATCTTAAATATGTAAAATAAATTTTAATAAACATGTAAAATAAATATTATTATTATTTATTTTCAAATAATATAAAAATATAAACATAATTCAAATAATAAAAATTATTTTATTATATATAATTAATAAAATATTTATAAATATATATTAGAATAACATATTATAAATATTTATTTTAACAAAATATAAATATATAAATATAATTTAAATAATAATATTTATGTTATTATATAAAAACATAAAACAAAATTTAAAAATGAAAAAAAAAACAAATAAGAATTCGGTTCCCTGCAGAACCGAATTCTGTATTGACATTTTTCTGCTATAGTGAACAGGTTCATTCTGGTAAATATATTCTCACTAAGTCTATTTCTGTATTTTTTTTTATTTTTTTAATAATTTTTCGTAAAAAATTCCATTACATTTGTGTTGAATTGTTCATGAGCACACTCATGAAAATATGGAACACTGATTTCTATTAGTAAGTAGTCATACATGTAGATAAACCCATTTGAGGTCTCTTAGAGGTTGCAATCAATCAAATAGTCCCCCTTAAATTTCTCATTTGCACAAAGAATTAAGTGTTCTTGTAAACTTACCTCATCCTTTATAGTATAGCAACTCAAGGTGTTTAAGAACTCCCTATCTACCCACCTCATCGATTCACGAGTTAAAGAGTCAAAGACTCAAATCCTCTTGCCTCGAATACAAGTTGAATCAACCTCTTTGAATAACATCATTATAAGACTTTATATGTAGTTAAAATAGCAGCTCTGGAGCTAGTGTCAAAATTAGATTCATTCAAAGAATGAATGAAGGCATCAACCTTTGTAGGAGTACAGTGACAACATTCTCCGCTACAACTTATTTTAGATTACTTCTACTGCGCTTATATAACATGCTGAAATGCATTTGATCATAAAGTTAGACCACGTTTGGTTCATGTTTTATTGATTCAATTCTGACATCCCAAATCACCAAAAATAATATATGGTATTTTTATGTTTTAGTAGAGTTGTCAAAAAAGTTTTTGTACTAAAGGTCAGTCTTATCTTACTCTCAAATAATTTATCTAACTCTGCTCTTATTAATTAAAAAAATTAATTAAGCTCAAAATTATTTTGCTCAAAATATATTAGTTAGGTGGAAATATTCATGAATAAGCCTTGATTTTGAAAAGGCTCTCAAATCATATGATTTATTGATCTTTGCAAAACTTTAGTTGAACTTTGCTGTAGGAAAGGGTTGACGCCAAAGAGGAATGTTGTAACATAGCTGTGACTATGATTTCAAAGTTAATGTCAAGATATAATGTTACGTGATTTGTAATAATTTTTTTTTATTTAATTAAATTTATAGAGATCTTACGGTGATTTATGTGGAGGGGAGTGAAGAACTGAAAGCATCTTGGATTTGTAAAGATTGATGCAATTAAAGTTTTTGTATGCAATTAAAGCAAGTAAAAAAAAATTTATGAATTTTTTTACTTGCTTCTGGGTTTAATTTTCCTTCTTGGATTATGTTGCATCTGTTGGTAGAGGATTCAACTCTCAAGCCATTCAAATAGTATATAAGCACACTGTGAAACAACTCAAAATAATTGAGGATATTTTGACAATTGTTGTTGCTGTAGGTATGTGTAATTTGTGACAGGAAGTTGAAATACTTTGAGGTGTAGAAGTGTAAATGTGAGGGATGCTGTATTATCTCTCATGGATTGAAATCTTAAAAATCTAAAATTTTTTATTTTTGTTATAATCAACCTATGTTGCTATAGTTTATGTGCTAATGAATATATATAGAGGCTAGTAGTTGCTAAAACATTTGAGTTAGCCTCGTAAGTATTATTTTTGAATGTTGTTTTTGTTTCATTTCAAATTCATTATTAAAAGAGTAACTGAACAATACGTCATATAAAAATGATTTTTTTTCTTTATTCCATAAATTATGACATATCTCATCAGTGTCATATTTGATTGTGAAAAAAAATTGTAAGAAAAAAATAAAGGAACAATTCAAGAAAAAGGCTTTACTAACCATTTCAATAATCTATTCATATTAGATATTTTACTTTTTTTAATAAACAAAATAGTTTGAGATGTTGAAAAGGAAAAACATTCCATACACAACAAAATTAGAATTATTGGTATTAAAATAATATAAACCCAAAAATATATAACAACTTATATTGTATTAGCATCAAAGAATTAATATCTTACAGTTTAAATTTACTTAACATCTCAAGCAATGTGCTCTTAAGTATTTTTTTTGGTCTTGACCTTAATCTTGGGTAGGCCCATAAAACTTTTATTTATTAAACATTTTTATCCATAGAATTTTTTGCCTTAATTCACACGGACTAAAGATAAGATTGGACTAGTTAGACATTTTGATAGTTATATATTTTAAGTCAATTATATTTTCTTTTTCTATATTTAAATCTTCAATCTTGATCCAAACATTTTTTTTCATTAGTCACTACTCATAAAATTTTGTTTATAAATTATCATTTTTTATCTTTAACTTTTAGGTTTGAATTTATAATAACTTCCTTTTTTTTTTCTCAACTTTCCTTTGAAGTTATCATTTAGTATCATTCAAATAAATAAATAATAACTTCCTTTTTTTTGTCATAGATAATAACTTCCTGAAAATTACCTTTTTTTTTTGTTTAACTGAAAAATTATCTAAAGCCCTTCGTGATGGGCTAATTTATTTTTGGTCAAGGCGTAATGGGCTAATCTTGCTGTCCGTTTGTTTTCCAATTTGCTTTAATGGCCAATCTCTTTTCTTCGGTCATAATATAATGGGCAACTCTCTAGAGTTGTTTTTTCATTGTGTTCCACGTTTGGGCCACTATTCTAGCCCATGAGAATTTACGGCCGGAATACTGATCTGTTTGCTTTGAACCTGTGCTTTGAGGACCAAAAATGAAAAATCCATGCTTCGGATTTGTCGTTGAATTTTGGATTTGGGAGTTCATGTTTCTTTACGGTGGCGAATGAATCAGATGATAAAGGGAACCCTTCCAAAGTGAACAATGAGAAAAATCGATTGATTGATGCCCACCCTCACCCACACAAAGCCCCTCTCACTCAACTCTCTCCTCCGAGCTTGCTCTGCTTCAAAATCTCTCATCCAAGCAAAGCAACTTCACCACCGCATCATCGTCAACGGGTCAAACACTAACTCTTTCTTCGTTACCAAGCTAATCCAAATCTACGCCGATTGCGACGACCTTGGGTCTTCCCTCTCCTTGCTCCACCAACTCTCCCACCCCAACCTCTTCGCTTTCACCTCAATCCTCGCCTTTTACTCCAGACACCGCTTTTCCCACCAATGCATTCAAACCTACGCCCAACTGAGACTAAACGGTGTCGTCCCAGATGGTTACGTGTTCCCCAAGGTGTGCAAAGCGTGTGCTCAGTTATCTTACTTGAGAACCGGTGCTGTTTTGCACAAAGATGTTATCGTGTTCGGGTCCCAATTCGGCTTGCAAGTTTGCAATTCCGTGTTGGACATGTATTGCAAATGTGGAGATGTTGAGAGTGCCAGGAAGGTTTTTGATGAAATGGCTGAACGAGACGCTTTCTCGTGGAATTCCATGATGTCGGGTTATGTGTGTAATGGGTTGCCCCAGAGGGTGGTTGAGGTGTTGGGGTTTATGAGAGAGGAAGGGTGTGAACCCGATGTTGTCACGTGGAACACTGTGATGGATGCTTATTGTAGGATGGGACTGTGCAGTGAGGCCTCCAAGGTTTTTGGACAAATTAAGGATCCTAATGTGATTTCGTGGACAACCTTAATCTCGGGTTATTCTAGTGTTGGGAGGCATAGTGTTTGTTTGGAGATTTTCAGGGAAATGCTGAATGTTGGGATGGTTTTGCCTGATGCGGATGCTCTTTCTAGTGTCCTTGTTTCGTGTAGGTCTTTGGGGGCTTTGGCATGTGGGAAGGAAATTCATGCTTATGGGATCAAAATTATGAGGGGGGATGTGTTTTATAGGTCTGCTGGTGCTGCCTTGTTGACATTGTATGCTGGTTATGGTAGACTTGATGCTGCTGAAAATGTGTTTCTTAGAATGGATGAGTCTGATGTTGTTACATGGAATGCCATGATTTTTGGGTTAATTGATATGGGATGGGGAAATTTGGCACTTGAATGTTTCAGAGAAATGCTGGGAAGAGGTTTAAAGATTGATCACACTACTGTGTCTACTATATTGCCTGTTTGTGATTTGAGATGTGGAAAACAGATACATGCATATGTTGTTAGGAAAAGCCATTTCAGTTTTGTGATTCCTGTTTTTAATGCACTTATTCACATGTACTCTATCCGTGGATGCATTGGATATGCATATTCTGTGTTCTCTACCATGGTTGCGAGGGACTTGGTTTCGTGGAACACGATTATTGGAGGATTTGGAACACATGGGCTTGGCCAAACTGCTTTGAAACTTCTGCAGGAGATGTGTGTTTCAGGCATTAGCCCTGATTTGGTCACTTTTTCTTGTGCACTTTCAGCTTGTAGCCATTCAGGACTTGTGGATGAGGGGATTGAACTCTTCTACGGAATGACACAAGATTTTGGCTTAACACCAGTGAAGGAACACTTTTCATGTGTTGTTGACATGCTAGCCCGTGCTGGCAAGCTTGAAGATGCTTTTCATTTCATTAACCGAATGCCCTTGGAACCAGATAAACACACGTGGGGTGCTTTACTTGCTGCATGCCAAGAGCACCAAAATGTTAGTGTTGGTAAACTGGCTGGAGAAAAATTGATTGGTTTGGAACCTAATGAAGCTGGTCACTATGTGACACTGTCAAATATATATTCAAGAGCTGGAAGATGGGATGATGCTGCAAGAGTACGGAAGATGATGGAAGGCCACGGATTGCTGAAGCCATCAGCACGTAGTTTTGTTGGTACTTTAAGTTAGCCTAGAGGCGAAGACAACATGATCTATTCAATATTTTGATCATACTTCCAAACATTACCTACTGTGCATTTTCAATTATGCACCAAGAGTTAGAGGTGTAAAACTATTTATTGAGTTGCCTTAGGATGGGATGGGACTCTGTTTAATGTTGTAATTAATTATGTTATCAATATTTAAATAAAGAAAGTAATTGATTTGAAAGAATTTTAAAATTAAAAAAGTTCTATATATAAAAGTTTCAGTGGAAAAATTTAAATATTATATACAAATGATGGATATGTAGACACACGTTATCTTTTTGGCATATGATTCCTTCCATTTAAAATTTTATTAAGACTTTTATTTGTTTTAATTGCTTTGATGCACACCATGACATTTGGGTAGAAGTTGGAGGAGCGGGTGGTGAAATAATTGTTAGTAAGAAAAACAGAACGAGAAAGGATTAGAAAGTACGGATCAGTGGTATTGTATCAGTTTTATGTTCTATTTCCTTGTTCATCCTGATCATGATATTGAAGAGGCACATAGATTAAAGTAATTCATTATTTTTATCAATATTTAACGTGGTAATTCCGTTTGTGTTGGAAAGTCTCAATATTTTTCAGTTATTGAATAAATATTTATTTTACGATTAAAAAAAATGTGACATTAATTTAATCTTTACTGAAAACGTTCAGCAATTTAGTCATTTAACACAGAAAATAACATTGACTTAATTCTTTAAATAAAGTTAACATGAATTTAATTCTTCAGTCATAAAAGGCGATTTTGATAACATCAATTTAAATACTTCTTTTAACACTATCTAATAATTTATATATAGAAGATTTTGATATTACTTTCTATGACTAAAAGATTAATTAAATCAATGTCCACCTTTATTAAAAGGCTATATATTGATGTCATTATCATATGTATGTTTATAAAGTTGAAATGGATGTTTACTACTCGTGATTGTTTCAGCAATGTCTACTAAAGAAGATGAAAAAAAAAGTAGCATCATTAATTAATTGCTAACTTATTTTTTCGATTTTTGGAAAGGAAGACAATGGATAAAATCATAATATCAAATGTTTATATATCTCATTGATTTCATTTCAAAATTTCAAAGGTGTGTTTTATATTGCATAAATGATTTTGTTTTTGTTTGGTCTCAGAAATAGAATTTCTTGTAAATCATGGACGGTACTATTTCAGCTATCCAATTTGTTTGTGGTTGTGGGGTCATATTTTGCTTGTGACAAGTATGAAAGGATTTGCAAAACTTTTATTCAAATGCTTAATATGTCTAAATTCAGTCCTCCAAATTAATGTGTTATATCCTTCCAAGTGTAGATCATGCTTTATTTCCTCTACTACATAATAGTACATATTTGCATGAGATATAGTGAGGATATATGTTATTTAAATCATATAATTATTGAGAATGATTGAAAGTTTTGCATGATACCATTTTAGGTATTTTAGATATATTTCCATATATTTAGTGATTAATGTGATGTTATTCTCATTAATAAAATAAAAGTTGGATCCTTCCATATTAAACATGAAAAAAATTATTTATATACGTCTAATAGGAGAAATTTCATGAAAAGTTATAAATATTTATAAAGAGCAAATAAACATAACATTTTTCCATGATAAAATCATTTAAAATTTTAACATTAAAGGATTTTTTGTTTCAAAAATATAATCAAGAAAGTATAGAAATTGATTTAAAATAACCAAACTATATTATACAAAAAAAAGTATATTAGTTTATATATGTAAGCATGAGCACGACATGATTAATCAATGAATTTAGGACCTGTATCATATAATTTTAATATGTTAAAAAAAATAAAAATAATTAAGTACGTTCCTTTAGTTAGAAAATTTAGTAAGACAGGTGGTAAAAATAATTAAAAAGCAACAACTGAGGTAATAAAAATGAAGATGGTAAGAAGAGTTTGGAAGAGACAGGTGGCAGGCAGCTATAAAGTTGAGAACCGCAATCCATTTTTACCTCACATCGCCGCCTTTCTTGTCCAAATAGAAGTAACCCACGAATCATATCAATCTCTATTTCAATTCATATTCGAATTCCAAACTAATCCATTCATACCAAACAAAACACAACTCACTCAGATTTCAGATTCTCACCAAATTCTCAAGACAATGGAGTCGACGCCGGTGAATTGGGAAGCTCTTGACGCTCTCGTCATCGATTTCGCCAAATCGGAAAACCTAATCGAAGACTCATCCTCCGCTCCCTCTCCATCCTCTTCCCCTTCCTCTTCCTCTTACCACTCCAGACTCGTCATCCGCCAGATCAGACGCTCCCTAGAGACCGGCGCCATTGACGCAGCCGTCGATCTCCTCCGCCTCCACGCTCCCTCCATCCTCAACGACCACCGGATTCTCTTCCGTTTGCACAAGCAGGTCTCTCTCTCTCTCTCTCTCTCTCACTCACATACACAGTCACACACACACGCTAATGATTTTCTTGTTTTTCCTATTATCATTGTTCTGAATTTCGATTGCTTTGTAGAAATTTATTGAGCTTCTTCGGAAGGGGACGACAGAGGATCGAGACTCTGCTATTGAGTGCCTGAGGACGGCTCTCGCTCCTTGCGCGCTCGATGCGTATCCGGTAATTGAATCGTGCAATTGAATTCGCTATTTTTTCTTCTCTCTTTTGTTGTTCGGTTCTGACGGTTGTCTTTGTATTTAAGGAAGCATATGAGGAATTCAAGCATGTGCTGCTCGCATTTATATATGACAAGGATGATAAGACTTCTCCAGTGGCCAATGAGGTACGTCTCAATTTTACTTTAAGCCGTGGTGCTGCCTGCACGCCGATGTTTGTGGCTAGTATAGTTGAGAATGTAGTGTTTAATAAAAATATTCGATTGATTAGCATTTATTACCCTCGATGCTGTCCTTTTCTTGCACTCCTAGGGTGTAAATGGTTGAACTACTTATGATGTGTAATAACCCTACTTTGTAAATGTGTTAGATTAAACTCATTTGTTTTGTTAAACAAATAAGCTCAAATTTGAAATTAGAGTCAATTATGTAAATGAGTTCGGCTCAAATTTATAAGCTTAACATTGGAAGCAGATAGGTACCTACACACGTATAAAATTTGTTCCAGGGAAAAGTATACTAAAAGTCATGTTAAGCTTTAGGTTTTCTGCAAATAGGCACCATAAACTTTAAGTTGTCTAAATTAATCCCTAAACTTTAACTAATATCCCAGTTAATCCTTCTTTAAGTAAACCACTATCTGTGAGTTAGTTTTATCATCCAATTATGCTAAATCTGGACCGTATTTATTGTTTTATTTTGTAAATGTGCTGAATAAAAAATCAAAGACACAATGGTTGAATCAGACTACATGGAAAAATATGGTTTGCTTCTCATCTGTGCGTTCCAGGTGGGTCTTCTTAGCGTAGGAGGCTAAAATGACACCATTGGTTTGCAATGCTAGGAATGAAACTACTGAAACTCAAATTAAAGATTAGAAGAAGGGAATGAAGTAACTATAGAAATTATGAGTGAAGGGGATCGACATGCTTCATAGTCTTCCATGTAGTCATTGCAAAGTTGCAGAACCCTTTTGTGACTCATCCCTGCCATTCAACAGGGAGAGACTGAGAGATAACGATTGTGTGCAGGACATCTCTTTTTTACTCCTAAAATAGCTATTAATTGCATGCTGGAAAAGCCCATCAAATGCAGCATCGAGAAGAAAAATATCTATTATCTTCTTTTTCCTTTAACATATTTAAATAATTTGAAAATATTTTTTAAAATCAATCAATCAAGGGTCTAAATTTAGTCTAGATGGATTGTTAATTTTGAGGCATTGGCATCTTGATGAAAGAATCTATCAAAATCCTTAACAATAGACCAGTTTGTTGCATAGACAGAATTAAATGCCATAATTAGGAGCATATGCTAGCTGTCTGGTTTTGTATTTTTGTACAGGAATCATTGACCCTTAAACTTAGGAATTACTTGTGTATGAATAGTTTAGGAATTTCCTTTATTAGACTTTTTGATTCTATTTAAGATCATTTGCTCTTCTGAAATCAGCAGAAAACAATCTTCTGACAGAATCTATTTAAGAATGTCTATTTGCAAAAGACCAAAATGCCTAAAGTTTAATGAGGCTTAGTGCAATTTCCCCCATCATATAGATGTAAAATTGCAATCACAAAAGAAATTAAAATGTTGGATATGAAAGGGTATAGTAATAATATTTTTATTATTTCTATTACTTAGTAAATTGTAATTTGATTATTACTTCATTTTTCTAACATAAAGATGTTTATTAAATACTAAACTATTAAACATAAAAAAGATACTTAAAGCAGAGATTTGATAACAGGAAAGAAAATAATCAAGCTATATATATATATATATATATATATATATTACTAAACAAGTTGTACGCAAAACTTCATATATTTGAACAAGTCAACCTAAGCTTTAAATTTTGACTTTTTTAAATGAATGAGCCAAGCTTGGGTAATGTCTTCTTTGCACTTGTCAAGCTCAAGAGCCTGACTTGATTTGACTCATTTTACAGTTTACATACCAATTCAACACCGTTCTTTGTTCAAAAATTAAATTTAAAATACTTTTTTGTACTGTTCCTGGTTCATTTCTCTGTAAATAACAAAGTAAGGATGTAAGGTGTAGTCTTCAAAAAAGAGGGGTATCAAATGTTATAGGATTTTACCTTAGGGGATGTCAATAGAATAGAATTACCCTTAATAGTTTTTAAATATTGTTCTTTTGGAATAATGAATTATGTGCACTGCCTGAGACATGCTGGTTTGGGTAGGTATTTGTTGCAGCTTTTGCAAATAAATAAATATCGGAATGGTTTTCTATGAGAAGCTTCTACTATTAGGTATGCAAAAAGATCTTTCAGTAGGGTTGTAGCACAGGGGCCACAGGTTTGTAATATAAAAGTATGGTACTTGGAATTAATCATTTGGTTTTCCTAATGTGTATACATGAGCACTTGTTCAGAAGTATCAAATATAAATAACAATCAAATATTATTCCATTAGGTGAGGTCGGTTACATGAATTATATGATGCTATTGAACTTGGTAAAAAATTAAAATTTTGAGATATTATTTATTGCCATATCCTTTTTAATAATTTTCTCAGAAGTTAGTAGATGTCCATCTTATGTGGTAATGCTTGATACATGCTCACTGCTAATGTTAGAATGTAGAAAAACTTGTTGATTGGCTTTTATTAGGTTTTAGGACACTATTAATTGGTGTCAGATAGGCATCTTCACCTGGCAGCATCTTGCCAACTGTTTTACAAGGATATTGTCCACACACACACACACACACACACACACACAAGACAGAGAATGTTATCTCCTGTCTTGTTTTCATTTTTTAAGGTTCATTCAGACAGACTGATTTAGGGCTTCATATTTCATTCGACAATTATGATGAAAATTGTATAGATCCTCTGTTATTTTTAAATTCTGTTAATGAGGTTTGTGTTTGATGTTATACTTCAGTGTGCTATTTTTTTTTTCTGTGAATATTGAATTTGTTAAGCTCATAATCATGCTTTCTTATTTTATACAGTGGTCAGAATGGAGGAGGCTTGACTTAGCTGGGTTTATGTCCTCTATGTTAAGGGCTCATTTAAATGCTTATGATCCAATTTTTTCAATGGCTCTGAGATATTTGATAAGGTTATCTATCAACTTCTTCTCATCAAGTTTTTAGCAACTACTAACTGGTCAAAACTATGCTGTTTCTATTGCTGTGCAGTGTGCAAATTTATTGGAAATTCTTTTTGCCAATTTGACGTTTAATTTTTCATACTTCCTGTTATTTTACAGCATACACAGGGCATATTGTTTACGTCAAGGTATTACATCACCAATCTCTGATCTCACTGAAAGATTGCTCCTTGAAGAGCGGGACCCTCCTGCAACACCACAGGACATTTTATATGAAGTACCACCATTTGATGAGGTGAGATATCTATGTTGTGTAATTCTAAAATTTGTTGTGGAAATTGATAGCTGGATCAGATCAATGGAAGAAAATAGTATGTATGCTATATATTGTCATTCAAACTATTTATGATCTTATATCAGTGGCATATCACTACCAGTACATGTTTCTCAAGAGGTAATGTTAACATAAATTAGGGCCAAAAAAAAAAAAAATACAGATAGTCCCATCCCTAGGCATTCAAAAGGCCTTGATCTTGTGCTCTGAATCTCTCTTCTCAGTTCTTTCTTACCTTGTCTGTTGTCTCCTTTCTTCTTATTTCATTCCCATTACACAACTTTGCACTCTGCCACTCCCAAGTCCCACCTGCCACGTAAGCAGGTTGTTACAATGGAAACCCACAACACACTGGTCACACACCTTTCAGACATGCTCTCATGGGTCCAAATCCTCTGTTGGTATTCCTTCTCCACTATTTTCCACCTTATGGGAGGGTGCCTTTCAGAAGTCAAGTGTATGTTAATAGTAAATGCTATCATTTTGTGAAAACAGATTGATGAATCTGCTTAATATGTTTGTATTAATGATACATCTGGCTCTCATTTTTTATTTGTATTTATGCTTGCAACACTTTTATGCTGAAGCAATATGTTTGACTCTGGAATCTAGGTTGACATACAGGCTCTTGCACATGCTGTAGAGCTTACCAGACAAGGGGCAATTGATAGCTTGAGATTTGCTAAGGGTGATCTGTTCCTGGCATTTCAGGTTACATATAACCTTACTAATTCACCTGCTTTTGGCTTCAATTTAAATATTGGCAATGAATTATTGCTTTCACATCTAAGTTAACTTTTATAATTGTTTCAAATATAATTTCATCAAGTGTAGATCATTTTTTTTACTTTCTATAAAAAGACAATGTCTAGCTTTTGATCTTTAAATACTGCTTTGTGGTTCAAGTCCTTCTTTCTTTTAGTTAATAAATTTACTTGCACCATTACTCACAAAACAATCCAATATACTGTTGACTCACTATAACCATTGATTCTGAAAAATTCAGTTTCAAAAAACTGTTTTTTTCACACATTAACTGGATCCAAAGAAAAATGTTCTCTTAATTTCCTTTTCCACTTGCAGACCAAAGGAACATCTTATCACTTTGTGAGAGGTAAGGGCTAAGAGAATCAAAAGTAAAAGGGGAGGCTAAAGAAAAAACAAATTTTGGTTAATGCAAATTATGACTGAATGATTCAATGTCTCAATATTAACTTTTGGCTTGCATTGGTGATGTATTTTAATTATTTGCTGATCTTGCCTTCATGCCTTCATGCCTTTATTATTGTATTCTTTTTGTTGCAGAATGAATTATGTCGTATGAGATTGGATGTTCCCCTTCTTGATCAACTTGTTCGTGAGTATTGTGTTTACAGAGGCATCGTTGACTCTGGTAGAGCATCTCCTCTGTTGAATCCTAGCTGTACGTGTGATATGTGAAAAATACTTCCATGCTACTAGCTTCCATTTCTTAAATTTTTCATGGCATTTTCACATATAATTAATCTCATTGGATTTTATGTCTCAAAATTTTAAATTAAAATCAAAGTTGGTTATTTCATCTATGCATTATAATCTAATAATGGGTTTTGTGCAATATTGAATTATTTCTAACTTTCAATGCATCTACTTATCTTATTTTGATTATTTGTTGTCATTTTATGATGAACTTAGCTTCCGGGAAGCAACCTATTCCAGAACCCATAAAATTCAACCAAGACCCTGGGTGTTGCTCATCCAGGGATTGTTCTCTTGAGCTAGATTGTAATGCCAGCAAGCATTCTGATGGTGAAACCTCTGTTACCAACGCTCAGATGGATGGTTCCCCTGAAAATAGTGCTGATGTAACAAGCATGCGACGAATCGATTTTGAAGTACGATATGCTTCTGAACTCACAAGCATTCATGAAGACTGTAGCACCAGTGGATCACATCAACATGAAGATCCAAGTGTTTTGCAACGAAGCAGATTGCCTGCAAATGGAGAAAGGAGCAAACGCAAGCGTTGGAGAGGACGGTATGATGACAGTAGTTACATGCCCAGTACATCTTTGGAAGAGCAGAGCAAGCAAGAGCATAGCATAAATACCACTGTTTCAACATTATCAAAGGAGAAACAGGTGTCTGTTTGATTTTTTGTAGCTATTTATGACATTCTGTCTGGCTGATCAATTATTTGATGGAATATTGTTTTGCAGGGCTCTGAAAAGCTTTCTGTACATGAAGTTAGTATTGTAGAAGATAAATATGAGATTCTGTTGGGAATGAAGGAATTAGCTAGCAGAGGAATGGCTGCTGAAGCAGTTGAGGAAGTCAATGGTATTGACCCCAATTTCTTTGTACAGAACTCTGTTTTGCTCTTCCAACTCAAGCAGGTAAGTGGTTTCTGTGTTATTGATATTCTTTTCTTTATTAATTTTATAGGAGAGGTCCAGCCAATGTCATTGGGCTCTGCATAATTGCTTTGAGAATGTTTTCCTTAAATGTGGATTCTTGGTTATAGGTTGAATTCCTCAAGTTGGTCAGCTCTGGTGATTATAATGCTGCTTTAAGGGTTGCTTGCACTCATTTGGGTCCTTTAGCTGCTAGTGATCCTGCTTTATTAAAGCCATTGAAAGAAACTCTCTTGGCTTTACTACGACCTAATGAAGATGCTCTTGGAAATGCATTACCTCTACATGCTCTAGCTGCATCTCTCCAGGTGTTGTTTTGCTAATCTAATGTATAACCTGTTATTGTCATTGTTATACTTTTTTCCATATTTTAATGTTGGTCAATGATATTTCTTGTTCATGGTGTTTGTCTATAGATGTCATGATATTTTGAATAGGATTACTAATAGAAAAAGATGGTGAGGAATAATTGTTGTGTAATTGATGAGTGATTGAAGCTTATAACTTTTCATTAAACAAATTAATATTTATAACTTACCCTCCTAAATAATATTGAGTTCCAAGTAATTGTAAATTATCCTCTAGAGGGATTTCCTATCATATGTCCATAATAGGATATATCTTGTGTCAGTGTCATTTCATGTTTTTGTTTTGTACCTGGAAGCATTCCTATTACTGCCTATGGTGAAGGACTTTGGTCTATTATTTTCTAATGTCTGTTAATACTTTTGAGAGAGAAAGAGAGAAACAAGAAGACATAGAATGAATTCGTGTGTCAAAATACACAGCAAAGTTATTTATTTATAAATAATGCAGTCTATTAATACTGTTGAGAGAGAGAGAGAAACGAGAAGACAGAGAATGAATTCGTGTGTCAAAATACACAACAAAGTTATTTATTTATAAATAATGCACAATGATTACATAATATACATTTTCATGATATTTTGTTATCTAAAATTACGCTATCTATGATTACATTATTTATCGTAGTTCCCTTATTTAGATTATTCTCATCGCTCCCCCTCAACTTGGAACATATAAATCATATGCATTAAGCTTGTCATGTATATAACTAATGTGGTACCTCAAAAATTTAGTGAAGATATCTATCAATTGATCATTAGAGTTGAAGAATCGAGTAACAATATCTCTAGATGAGATCTTTGTTTTAATGAAGTGACAATTTATATCAATATGGTTGGTCTTCTCATGAAAAACTGAATTTAAATCAATATGTAAAGTAATTTGATTATCACATATTTCATCATCTCCAAACATCAATTCCTTCGGTAAATTGTATCATGAGTTCACAAATGGTTGCATATCTTGATATTCCGCTTTTGCACTTGATTGCACGACAATGCTTTGTTTCTTATTTGTTCAAGAAATCAGGTTATCATCAATGAAAACACAATATGCAGAAGTTGATCTTCTATCTATAGGAGAGTCTGTCCGATCCCCATTTGATTATTCCACAATTTGAGTGTCCTTAATCTTCATTCTAAAGGAGTTCCCTTGATATATTTCATGATATGAATAGTTGCATTGCATTGTTCTTTACAATGAGAGTTAAGAAGCTAACTCACTACATTCATTGTAAAAGAAATATCAGGACAAGTGACAATGAGATAATTTATTTTTTCATCAAGTATTCTATATTTCTTTGAATCTGCAAGAGGATCTCCCTGTCTTGTTATGATTTTGGTATTAGGATTAATATGATTATTAAGGGATCTGGTGCTCATCAATCCTGTCTCTTCCAAGATGTTCATGGTTACTTCCTCTTAGAAATTACAATATCATTTCTGAACTAAGCTACTTCTATTGCTAAGAAGTATTTAAGTTTGCTTAGATCCTTTCTTTGGGAGTGATGATAGAGATGTTGCTTCAATTGTGAAATCTTACTATGGTGACTACCTATGATGATAATATCATCTACACAAATGATAAGGTAAATGCATTTTGTAGCAGAGTGACGGTAGAAGACATGGTGATTAGCTTCACTTCGTGTCATACTAAATTGTTAAATCACAATACTAAACTTGTCAAATCATGTCCAAGCAGATTATTTAAGACCATATGGAGACTTTCATAATCGACAAATAAGTCTTGAAGCTTCTCTTTAAGCTTCTCTTTAAGCAACAAAATTAGGAGGTTGTTTTATACAGACTTCTTCCAAAAGGTCTCCATGTAGGAAATCATTCTTTATCCAATTGATAAAGAAGTCAATCACAAATAATTGTCATATATAAGAAGCGAATGAAAGACATCTTGGCTACAAGAGAGTATGTGTCACTATAATTTAGGCAAAAAAGTTGGTATAACCTTTGGCTATGAGGTGAGCCTTTAATTTATCTGCCTTGCCACCAGGACCAATTTTAACAGAGTAAGCCTATTGACAACTAACAACAAATTTCCTAAAAGAAGAAGAGCAAGAGTATCACTGTGTTGGGGCGTACTCATCTCATCAATCATGCTTTCTTCAACTAGAATGGATGAGAGCATTACTTGTAGACTTAAGAATGGAAACAAAAGAAAGAAGAGAGACAAGTGTAATCGGAATTCGGAAGGAGATAAATGATGATAATTGGTATTAACACAGTGAGGAGAAAGATTATGAGTAGAACATATACTCTTATGAATCGCAATGAGGTAGTCTAATTGAGGAAGTAAAGTTGGATGGGATGGATGATGTGCCACCAAAGGTGAGTTAGTAAAGTCAATAATAGGGGATTTGTGTTGATAAACTTGCAACAGACGAGGTAGAAGTGAAGTTGATGGCATTGGAGACTCAGGAGAAGAAAAATGAATAGAGGTCGAGAAGAAATCATTTGAGGACTTAGAAAAAGACACAATTATAAAACGTCATATTCAAAAAAGGAAACATCATATGATATAAAATAACGATGAACAATAGGAGATTAACACATGTATCTTTGTTAAGATTGAGTGTAACCGAGAAAGACACATTTGTGGGAGTGAGCAAAGAGTTTGTCTAATCCAAGATTAATGTTGTGGACAAAATAGGTGGAATCGAAGATTTGAGGAGACAGGAGATGGAGAAATTTGATGTGGATACAAGACTTATTAAAATATTTTTCTGTCTAAAATGGTTGAAGGTATCCTATTGATAATGTAACAAGCAGTAAGGGCAACATCACTTCAAAAACAATGGAGAACATGAGATGAAGCAAAAGGGTAGGGGCTGTCTCAAGAAGATATCTATTTTTACATTCAACAATGTCATTTTTTGCGGCCATGAAACTAGGAAAGGAAGTAGACAAGTATTCTTTAACATTATTACTTTGTAAAGTATGGATATGAATGTCAAATTTGAATTTTTATTTCTCTTTCAAAAGACTGAAAGATAGATAACAAATAAAAACAATTTTTCTTAAATAAAGTTGAGTACATTGTAAAAAATCATCAATAAAAGTGATAATGTTTTTTATCCTAAACTAGAGGATCCCAAAGATCTGAATAAACTAAACAAATGGAGACAAACCTTGACTAATGTTATGACTAAGAAAAGAACTACAAACATGTTTACCTAATTGACACAACATATAATTTAAAGAAGACAACCTAGAGAGGCCCTATAATAACAACTTCAAGTTGACAAAACTAGGATGGCCCGGTTCAGCATGAATCATTAGTGGACTATCTATTGCTAAATCAATATGAGAGAATTGTTGGAGTTGATACAGACCCTGAGACTCACATCTGAAATCAATCATCCTCTCCAAACTTTCAGTCTTGTAAGGCAACAAAATTTTTGGTAAACGAAACAACACAATTAATGGAATGAGTAAGACTATTGATAAAGAGTAGATTAAAAGTAGACTTAGGAACATAAAAGATATTATCACTGGAAATAGATGAAAGACTAAATACAATGCTAATTCCTCTAGGTCGTGTTTGATTACCATTAGCTATAGCGATGGGGAGTAAAGAATTAGAAAGAGAGTTGAGACAAGATTTATTAATAGAGTAGCCCCCAAAATCAAGAATTCAAGGACCAAGGGAAGGAGAGTGGGAGATGCCGGCAAAGGAAATTTTAGCTTGCACAATCGACATAGTGGAACTGGAAGATTGATGAATTTTAGTCATCATAAGAGACAAATGGTGCATGAGGAGCAAGTAATAATTCAATAGAGTCAAAGAAACCTGTGAAAAGGAGCAAGCAACATTAGCCGTGTGAGTAGGGCAACCGTGAAGAGCATAACAACGATCAAATGGTATAATCAAGCTTATGACAATGGTCACACTCAAGGCGAGATTTACCAAGATTACGAGAGTGAGTATGATCACCCTGATGAGACACTTGAGTGAAGGAGTTCCCTTGAGAAGGAACAACCTTTTTAGATGTTTTAGTTGAAACACAAAGCATGGTGGACTAGGTAGTGCCCAAAGAACGAAAAGTGGGACAGCCCAATATCTGATCGTGAACATTTGAGTAACTCGGGTAAACCGTACAAAGCCAATAACATAAAGAATTGTTGGTGTTGCTCAAGCTCCTTGTCAGGTTTCTCAACAAGAGGTAAGAGTTCATTGAAATCATAAAGAATACCAAAGATTCAACCCAATTAGGTAGTCATGGAATTACCAAGAGAGCAAACACCAATAACTGTCATAGATTGTGACATACCCCGTAAAGTTGTTGAGTGTTAGACTTTGTTCGAGTCCATATAGCTTTTGTATGTCTCATGGGCACGAAAATCAGGTCATATAGAAGAATGAAGATTAGCCTTAATAATGCTAACAAAATTGAGTGTCAATCTTCTTCCAACGAGGGCGATAAACCTTAGCAATAGTTTTGGCCTATGTGGTAAGATGGTCATTTTAATCTAGCCCAACAAGCCAAAAACGAAAATTGAAGCACAAGTGGTATATTTTTAACCATCCAATTGCTTAGTAGAGAGAGGAGCAATGATGTGGTTGGTAAAGAAGGCAGGTTCAGTCTTGGGAGGATTGATAGCAGCCATGGGTATTGTGGAAGAAAGAGAAAGAGCGTGAACAGTGTCATGAAAGCCAAACAAAGAGAACGACGACGAAGGAGCAATGAACCCCATTATCTAGAAAGAGAAAGCAGCGACAATCTTGATGATGTCAACGATGACCAGAACAACAGTCAGAGGTGCTGCCACATGCGGTGGCAGTGATGGTGGAACACTGAGGCTGTGCCTGCTTGTGGAGGCGCGTGAGCGCTCTGATGAAAGTGGGACCAGTGGTGTTGGGTGGTGCAGCAATGATGATCCAGATCCAATGGTCAAAGGTGTTGGGTGGTGCAGGCAATGATGATTCAGATTCAATGGTCGAATGAAAAATCATCAGAAATGGTGGCTGCCTGCAGTGAACATTTGCTTGACGAGGAGAAAATGCTAGAGAACTGATCAGAAACCGAGAAAAAGGCAGTTTCTAAAAAAAATTTTACAATAATGGACAGTGCACCGAGAATGCACAGATTTGGTATCCATGTTGAGAGAGAGAGAAACGAGAAGATATAGTATGAATCTGTGTGTTGGAATACACAGGGGAGCTATCTATTTATAGTAATGCACAATGATTATGCTATCTACATAGTTACTTTATTTAAATTATTCTCAACAATTTATGTTATTTTGAATGTGAAATCCTTGTTTTACACTGAATAGGTGGCAGTTGGTCGGAGGCTTGGTGTTGAAGAACCTCAACTCATGAAAATAATGCGAGCCACTCTTCATACTCATAATGAGTGGTTTAAACTTCAAATGTGCAAAGATCGTTTTGAAGGTCTCTTGAGGATTGATTCCTTGAAGGAAGCAAATACTCCCTTCCTTTCACCAGCCTGTACGTCCAAGTCATTTGCTGATAGCTGCACAAATGGATCTTCTCAGGCTACAGTATCTTCAGGAACCAGAATGTCAGAAGATGGTAGCAGTCCAACTCAAGTGTCTTCGAGGGACGCCATCTGTGATGAAGGTGCAATACTCAAAGTAATGGTAAGATTTGGATTTTTGCTTTTTTTTTTTTTTTTTTTTTTTTCGTGGCAAAATTTACAAACTCAGTACCATGTCATGATTCTCTGAAGCTTTTCATGAGTTTCGATATCTTGCAATCATCTCTTGCTTTGCAACTTGTAATGTAGTTTTTTCATTAAGTAAATTTATCAGATAAAAGCACTACTTCTGTATTTGTCATTAATTTCTTAATGTACAATTTGCATTTGTCAAAGCACTACTTCTGTAGAGTCCTTTTGCAACTGGGAAGGCATTGCTATTCAATACCTCTACCATTGTCTCAATGGGTTTCTCCTAGGATTTTTTCTATTCCTTTCTTTTTGTTAGTATTATGTTCCATGTTATTTCAATTTGTTTGACCCCATTCATAGCTATGCCATCAAATATTATTTTTTCTTTCATCCGATATAAAAAAAAAATGCGTAACCATGCATTTCGGTGATTTCTATTTTGCACGCTAAGGCCTCCCCTCACCTCTTATGCATTGTTGTTTAAACTTCAAACCCTGTCATTTCTTGTAAGTTATAACTTAGTGTCTACCTCGTGCAAATTTCATGGTATATATTGATTCTAAGTAAATAATATTGATGTTATAAATTAGGACAAGAATTAGGTGCAGTATCGTAGATACTCTTGGTGTTGCTCTTTAATGAAGTTTCACATTGGTAACGTATATCAGCCTTTAATAATGGTACGCTGGCATTTGTTATGTATATTATCGAGATAAAATTTCAATTTTGATTAAAGAACAATACTAATAGTCAATACTTATGATATTGCACTTAAGTTTTGTTCTATAAAATACCATACAATGATGTTTTAATTTTGCTCGATTTAATGATTAGGTTTTCTTTTAAAATTTGGGATTTTGGTGTGTGCAGGAGTTTTTGGCTTTGCCTAGGGCCGATGCTATACATCTGCTTGCACAATACAACGGAAATGCGGAGACCGTCATTCAGCAGATATTTGCCTAGGCATTGTGAAGGACAATAGAATTTGTTTATTTGAAGAAGGGTCAAATTATTATTTTTTCAATATTATTTTATTCAATTTGTGAATTTTTTTTATAACGTGTACATATATAGCTGCAAAGAGGAAGTCGCTGCAACGTTTGAAATCCAAATTGACACAAACTACTCTCCTGTACAGAATCTCTTGATTTTTTACCTCAGTTTTAATATGAGAAAGGTTGTATTTAATAAAATAATAATTGGCGTGATTCAAGTGGGTTTAAAAGACTTGTATTCATATACTTTTTACATGAGCAATGCTATTACCGAATGATAAGGTGAAAATTGTGTGCCTACTAATTTACTTTTTTATTGTAGATTTGAATCTTCATTTTTGTGCTCATCCTCGTTAAATCACTTAGCTTTTTTGTATTAAATATTTCATTTTTTTTTTACTTATATTTTTTTATTCATTTCAAAGTTTGTTTCTTAATTTTAATTTCATTTAATTTTTAGATGTTGATATATTGTATTAAAATAATTGCTTATAGTTGCAAGGTTTTTGAGAGAATTTAAAAAGCAACGGATTATTCCTCCAAAATAATCACTTCCTAAACCTGTAGTTAGGGCAAGTTTGCTTATGGTTATTCCACAAAGGCTTGCCATGGGAGTATCAACACTAATTAGGAATGATAGCATAGATGTGTACTGTTTTAGATGATTGTGAAACATCATAGCGGGGACAACACTACCTGCATTCAGGTTAGGACAAAACACGTGGAGTTATATTATTTTCACAAATTTTAATGATAAATTTGTACAATAATAGATTTATCTATATTTTTCTCCATCAAATCACTTGATTTATCACCTTTTTTCTTCTTCTTCTCTTCTTATCTAAATTAAGTTTATAATAAAAAAAAATCATACAAATTTGTGGGACAACGATTGAGACTGAAATTTATATCCACAAAAGATAAAAATATATATGTTATTATTTTAATAATACATTGGTTAAGTGTAATGAATTTAATACTTTTTGAGGTTCATGATATATTGATTTTGAATAAAGTGAAACTAGATATTTAATCTAACTTTTATTATTTAATTCGGGTTAAATGAGATTATGTAACACCTTAACTTTGATTTCTAAAATAAATAAATTTTTATAACTGGGAATAAATAAATTTTTTTTTTTCAAATAGTTTTCAATGTATAAGTTTAACAAAATATTTTAAAATAAAAGAGGATTACAAGCTTGCATCAAAATAAATGCTATAGGACTTAATTAAATATATCAAATTTTCACAAATAGTTTTTTAAGTTCTATAGCAGTTTCATCCCTCTCGTTCACTGAGTCCAGTACTGATCGTCTTGGTTACCTGAAAAATAAATGTAAGGGTGAGTATTCTAAACTATCACGCACTGGTCTGACCATCGTCTGTAAGTGATAACCCGAACTAAGTTTCAACTTAGTACTCAACGCTCTCTGCAAGCTCTCTCAAAATTTTGAGGCAAACCTCAGATCTCTATCGGACATCACACTAGTCGACACTCTATGCAGCCTGACTATCTCCCCCACATACAAATTCGCAAGTCTCTCCAACTTATACTTCATATTAATCGAGAAGAAGTATGCAGCCTTAGTCAACTGATCTACTATCACCTAAATGGCATCATGGTTGTTCCTAGTCTTTGGTAATTCAGAAACGGAGTTCATGGAAATATTGTTCCATTTCCACTCAGGGTTCTCCAACGGTTGCAATAACCTAAGTGGACGCTGGTGCTCTACCTTTGCTTTCTGCTCAACCTTTGCTTTTTGACAAGTTAGGCATCTAGCTATATATTCAGCCACATCCTTCTTCATCCCATTCTACCAAAAACTTTTTTGAAGATTCTGATACATTTTAGTCGAACCAGGGTGAAAACTCATTATGTTTTTATGTGCTTCCTCAAGTACTATCTGCCTCAACTCATCCACTTGAGGAATGCACATTCGATTCCGAAACTTGATTACCCCGTTCTCATCACTATGGAACTCTAAGTCTTTCCCTTCACCCTTCTGCCTCATCATGTCTTGCAGGAAGACATCTTCTTGTTGAACATCTCAGACGTACACCAAGAAGTCATTATGGATTGTCGTCGCTCCAAGATACAAACTTCCTGGCTTCACCTCCATAGCCAAGTTCATGTCCCAAAACTCCTCAATCAGCTTCATCTCTTTTACCATTATTGCTGCCACATGCAATGATTTTCAGCTCAAGGCGTCAGCCACCACGTTTGCCTTGTCAGGGTGGGTAAGACAATGGAAAATTATAGTCTTTGAGGAATTTCATCCACCTCCTCTGCCACATGTTCAGCTCCCTCTGATCAAACAAGTATTTCAAACTCTTATGATCACTGAACACTTTAAACCTTGCCCTATAGAGATAGTGCCTCCACATCTTAAAAGCAAAAACCACAACGGCTAACTCCAAATCATACGTCAGATAGTTAACTTCATGCGGGTACAATTGTCTCAAGATATAAGCAACCACTCGTCCATCTTGCATCAAAACACACCCAAGTCCATGCCTAGACGCATCACAATACACATCAAACTTCTGTTCCGAATTAAACAGAACTAATATAGGTGCTAAGGTCAACTTTATTTTCAGCTCTAGAAAACTGGCTTCACACCTCTTGGTCCACTTAAACTCTTTTCCTTTACGGGTCAGCTTCATCAAAGGCAAGGCTATTTTAGAAAATTCTTCAATGAACTTTCTATAATAGCTTGCTAGTCCAAAAAAACTACGTACCTCAGTCACATTCTTCGGCCTCGGCCATTCAGCTATTGCTTTCACCTTTGCAGGATCTACCATAATTCCTTCCTTCGACACTACATGTTCCAGAAACTGAATTTTTAATAGCCAGAACTCACACTTAGAGAATTTGGCATATAATTGCCTCTCCCTCAAAATTTGCAAAATAATTTTTAAGTGCTCGACGTGCTCCTCTTGAGTCCTTGAATAAATCAAGATATCGTTAATGAACACCACCACAAACTCATCCAAAAACTCATGGAAGATCCTGTCTAGTCCATGAACACTGCAGGTGCATTGGTCACTCCAAACGACATTACCAAATACTCGTAGTAACCATACTGCGTCCTGAACGCCGTCTTGGGTACATCCTCATCCTTCACCCTAACATGATGATACCCCGATCTCAAGTTAATCTTTGAAAACACCGAAGCTCCTCTTAATTGGCCCATCAAGTCATCAATCCTTAGAAGTGGATACTTGTTCTTGATTGTCACCTTATTCAATTGTCTATAATCTACACACATCTTTCTTTTTCACCAAAAATACTGATGTTTTCTATGGTGACACACTTGGTCTCACAAACCGCTTCTGTAACATGTCTTCCACTTGTTTCTTAACCTCTGCTAATTCTACCTGTGACTAGGAATGGAAACAGGACAGGTCGCCTGACAGGGGCCTGCAGCCTGGCCTGACCTGACCTTTTTAATAAACAAAAAAGACTTAGGTTTTTTTTAAAGTATGTTTAAGTAAACAAGTCAAGCCTGTATATATATATATATATATATATATATATATATATATATAAAATTTAAAAATAGATATGTCAAAATATGTTTAAATATATTTTAAATTTTGTTATATTAAATTAATATATTATGTTATAATTCATTTTATTTATAATTATAATAAATAGAAATTATATTCTATTAAAAATTAAAAATATTTATACACAATTACACTTTTTAAATAACAAATTTATTTAATAATAAATTATCATATTTGTTACATTTAAATAAATTAAAGAGTGGTTAAATCTTTGAACATGAATAAGACGCAATCAAAACTGAATGAAATAAAATTAAAAAATGAAATAATAATATTATATTGATATATTTTTTATATTATTAATTTTATTATTATTACTATTTAATTATTATATTAATATATTATGTTTAGTTCTTTTTCTTTATAATAAATAAAAATTCTTTAAATATGAATTATATTTTATTCGAAACTAAAATTTTATAAATAAATGATAGAAAAATGAAATAAAAATTTCATATAATATATATATATAATATATATATATATATATATAATAGGATCATATAATAAATAATATAAATAATATAATTTTAAATAAATTATATACAACAATATATACTTGTTGTAACTTAATATGTATTTTATTTTTATTAATATAAATTTTTTGAGTAAATTACCTATAAAAAAATTTTTACATATCAAATACACAGTACACAACAACACACCTAAATATAAATATGTCAAATTTTAAATAATTATTTTCACAAATTTGACATAAATGTAAATAGATTTTTTCTTAAAAAAAATATAATTATTAATATACATTCAAATATCAATAATTAATAAATATTTACAAAAAAAGTATAAATAAAAAATTAAATTATTAATTAATTTATCAATTTATAATATATATATATATATGTTTTACTGTATTCTATCAGTAATATTTTTTATATTATATTAATGTTATAGTGTAGTTAATTTTATGTAATTAATAAAATTAAATATTTTGTAATTATTTTTTAATTTAATAATTATTATTGTCATTATATATATATATATATATATATATTAAGTTTTATTATATATTTTTTAATTAAGATAAAAGTTTAAAAATATAAGTTATTTTAATTTAAATATAAATTTTATTAATACTTACTATGCTCATATAATATTTTTCTGCATCCTTGAACTTTATAATATAAATATTTTTTATCTATAATTTTTACAATAACTATTTATTTATTATTTTAAATATAATAAATTTTTTTAACTGATTCAACAAATTTTTTTAATATTATTTTTTGTTATTAATTTTATGTGTTTACTGTGATTTTATTTATTGAATATAAGATGTCTTTACATAAACAAGATATAATTATCATAAAAAATAATTAAAATCTTTAATATTTTAATTATAGTTATTAACATACATTTACAATTCAATAATTTGTAAATATTTACATAAATAAAAAAATTAAATTATTAGACAATTTATTAATTTATATTATATTTATATGTATATATTTTAAATTATTATATTAGTAATATTTTTCTATATTACATTAATGTTATAGTGTTGTTAATTTTACATGTATTTGTTAATTTAAAATAATAAATTAATGAAATAAATAAAATTAAATATTTTGTAATTATTTTATTTTTCTTTTAATTTAAAAGTTATTATTATTATCATTATATATATAAATATTACATTAAATTTAAATTTATTTAATTTTTAATATATAATATTTTTTTTAGTTGATTCAACAAATTGTGTGAA